CAGAAACCTGACTGTTATTTTAGCATTGTAGTAGGAAAGAGTGTTCTTTTATTTTGTAAAATACCAATTTTTAAGATCTTTGCATTTAGTTTCGAATTTGTTTCACATAAGTAATTTAATCATGTCAACAGAAAGAGTGCACAAGTTTTAACTGTTTAACTTCGCAATGAAACTCCTAAAAGAAAAAAAACTAAAAAAGAAAAATCCAAAGGAAATCCATTCGTGTATGATACAAACATTGAGTAACGTTTGTATTTATATAATTAAATCATGATTAAATATTTAATTGTGAAAAAACAAAAAATGGCGTTCGCACTTCCAGAGTGGAGCTTTTGAGACACGAGATGCGGTCTTGAAGATTTTCAACGATATCGACTTGTGCGATTGCTGATCATATTCGTGACCAAATTCTGGTCAATCGGCAAATATCGGCCAAAATGAATTGCTGAGACAAAAAAGATATCCAGGGTAAAAGTTGGTTTTATAATTCATGAATGGTTGGATATGTAGAAGGTATCAGCCAGTTGGACGACAAAATCCTAAAAGGCTGACCAATATCGAAGGAACACTGCCAATTGGCAATCTGATGATCATTTTTTGGAACGAGTTGTCAATGACGATGAAATATTGTCCTAAAATCATGATTCGAAGACCAGATAACAATTCATTCACTAGTAATCCTCTACTTATAAATAGGTGAAGACATTCAAGACCAGATGTCAGCAAAAAAAGTCATAGCCACAGATTTCGATGATAAGGAACTTACTTTGATGACTGACTCTCTTTAGGTTGGACAAACAGAATATTACTCTAACTTGTTATTCAAATTAAAGTAGACACTGAAAGAAAAATCACCGTAGAAAACTACAGAATTTTTTTTTTTTTTTTTATTTTTGTGCGACAACGTACTTAATCACTTTCGATATTTTGATGAATGCTGATTTTGAATGTATAAATCATCCCCCCCATCCATTATTAAATATTACACTGTCTATTCCGCAACCATAAAAGGTGTTTGAAAAAGAGGAAAATTTCGAATGATCAGGTGAATAATAGCAGAATAATATTTCAGTCACTAAGCATCATTTTTCTTTCTTTCTTTTTTGTTTTTAAAGATGGGTAAAGAAATTTGAGAAATGATGAAGCCAGAATGTTAAGCTGAGGGGCGAAAATCTGTGAAATACTTTGTATGTTTCATGAGTTGAACTGATTTCCTTCTTGGTCGGGCAGAGAGTAATTTATGCCCCCCCCTCCTCATCCCCCTCCCCTCCTCCCTCCTCCACTTGCGATTCTCCTTAATTTTTAACGCCTTCAAGATTTGAAATTAACAAGGTTTTCCATTTCACTGAAATAGACATTAAATGCATGAGAGCATTATCATCTCCTCTATCTTTTCTTTCCTTCTTTCTTTCTTTCTTTTTTATTAGGTAAAAAGCATTTCTTTTTCTCACTAAAAACACAACTATCTTTGATATGTCTTTTTTCCTTCTTTTTTCCTATCTTTTTTCCTTCTTTTTTCCTTCTTTTATTCTTCTTTTTTCCTTCTTTTTCGTTTTTTTCCTTCTTTTTTCCTTTTTCCTTCTTTTTTCTTTTTTCCCTTTTTCCTTCTTTTTTCCTTCATTTATTCTTTTTTCTTTCTTTTTCCTTTTTTCCTTCTTTTATTTTTCTTTTTTCTTTCTTTTTTTCCTTTTTTCTTCTTTTTTCTTTATTTTGTTCTTCTTTTTTTCCTTTTTTCCCTTCTTTTTTCCCTTTTTCCTTTCTTTTTTTCTTTGCAATCAAAACGAAATCGTTCATTAATTATCTGATGTAATAGCATGAAATAAACACACACGCTAACTTTACTAACAGAATCATATGACTCTTTATTGCTAATAATCCTTCTTTGTGTCGTTTTGCTCTAAAACTAATTTAATCTTTAATTTCATAATTACTGAGCTTAGTTTGTAACACAAAGTCCAATGTTTGGGGGAAATTAAAAGCTAGAAGATTGAATAATATTCTAGGACCATGCCTACCTTAAATTAACGGACACAAAATCATGGCCTTTTTTTTTTATCTTTGCCCGAATACCAACCAGTTTCAGCTGATAGAAAATAATCGACGAGACTTTATCTACAAAAAGCAAATCTAAATCCCAAGAGAATGAAAGAACGTTTGGAGCAACAATAAAAGCTTCCGATATTAAAACATTAATTGAAATCATAAATGGGTTTTCGTTATTTCTTATATTTAGGTGAGTACGACACAGGGCTAATTAGGAGGAAATAAAGAATGAAAGATTGTGTTGCGCCAGTTTTCATATGTAAAATGTCTGCTTGTATTGAAAAGCAGCTTTCAAAATCCAAGTTTTTGCCTATATCCGAACACTGACCACTAGTGATAATGAGATATATCAAACTATCACCAGATACAACACAATCACTAGTTTATATACTGAGTTTATTAATCAACAACTGATGGTCGTCTATACATCACCATAAATAACATGCTTAAATCTGTTTGGGTTAATGTTTTTTCGACAGAAACTATCTTACATAATTATAAGTCTACCATTGTTCATGCACTGAATATTCCTTTCACATCTGGTCTGGTGCTTCTGCTATGTATTTAAGATTTTCTTGATAACGTCCAAATCCGTATCTGCAGTGTTATTCGTCCCGACCTGGCATCTCGGCTTCAGTCCCTTTTCCCACCGCCGTAACGTAGTTTCTCTGTGTCTTTCTAGAAATACTTTCATAGTAATTGTTGTGATGAACTCTCCACTGTGGTACCTAGATTTAAGTGCAGTACTAGATTGGCGGTAAGGTCTCATCATTTTACAGTTGGAATTGCTAGATGTAAACGTAACTTCTGTGTTAACAATTCCTTATCTCGCACTTCTCGTTTGTGGAACTCTCTTCCGGTTTCTTACTTTCCTGTCAACTTTGATCTTCAAATTTTCAAATCTAAATGCAATGACAATCGTTATCTCCTACTCTTTTATTGTTCTATCTCCTTAATAATTCTTTTTCTCATATTCTCAGTAACCGTTTGTGTCTTAGTGGCTTTATTGCCTTGCTTGAGGGTAAAAGGAATAAAAAGAAATATGGTTAGATATTGTTTCATTTTCTCTCCGAAATTCTACTATGTTTCAAATAAGGGTTCAATATTTGCCCGAATCTAGATACTTGTATTTACCATTATAAAAAGTTCATTGAAATAATATTGACACCATGAAATAATAATTAAAAATAAAAAGGAATAAAGCGTAATATCCAAATTGCTTCCGAAGTCATTATTTCTTCGTTCTGTAAATATTCGGCAAAAGGTTCCATCTATTTCGGGTCGTAGAGCTTGATGCAGAACACTCATAATCTATTTGGGGTCGTGTGGCTGGATATAGGACACCCATAATCTATTTGGGATCGTGGGGCTTGATGAAGGACACCCATAATCTATTTGGGGTCCTGGGGCTTGATGGGGGACACCCATAATCTATTTGGGGTCGTATGGCTCGATGGAGTGCACCCATAATCTATTTGGGGTCGTAGAGATTGATGAAGAACACCCTGAATACAAGATCTCCGGTTGAAAACGAAAACACCGTGCAGGAGAAGAGATAATAATAATAATAATAATAATAATAATAATAATAATAATAATAATAATAATACCCTGATGTTACACCAGGCATGACTCACATGTTTTGGGCATTATCTGAATTGATTGAAGTTGTTAAAATGTTCTTGTTTTGTCTTGGTAAATAAAGATTGGTCACAGTAAATATCCCGCTTAATATTACATATTTACGTCTCAATTGCCTGAACATGTCCACTTGGAAATTTTTCCCTGACTGTACTTTACATTATGAGCGGGAGCAGTTGGGGTGTAAGATGACCGGGTGTCTACAGGGTTGTTCTTTTTATGCTTGAAAGATGTGTTATCCAAGGCGACCTAACAGTCACGTCTACCTTATTTTGGAATAACTTCAACAGGAGACCGTCTAAATACACCCCACCTGCAAAGATATGAGCTGCGTTCATCAAAAGGCGTCACCATATCGCGCATGTTTGGCTGTGATGCATGTGCCTACTATACCCTTGTCAGACTGGGTGTTATGATGGATACATTGGGTTTCGTATGTTTATAACCCAACATCACTTTGTTGACGCACTGTTCTCACACTCATTAATAATAATAATAATAATGTTAGAGTCATAGATGATCTTTAGATGTGTATACAAAATAAATAAGCTTTCGACTAAAAATATAATATTGATCCACTCTAAAATGTTCGACCAATATATTTGTTTACGAAGTACAAGCGCACGTACTTATATAAAGATTGATTGTGAAGGCAATAAATAGTCAGATTTAAAAACAATTACCGTTCCCGTGAGCTTATACATACATTGGCTTACTTACACCGTTACAGGGGAGAGGAGAAAAAGCGAGAGAAAATAACTAAGACCTTGTGAAGAGAGACACTATAGTCAGTTGAAACGTCCAAATAGGGAAGGTGAGAAATCTAATCTGTTGCCTTGCTTTGACGATTTGAAAACAATCCACTAACTTCGTTGCTTAGAGACTAACAAACTTGTACTAGACTTTATTTAGGTATTGCTCATTAATGTTTTCTCCATCAAACAAGTAGAAAATAAACAAACCATTTTGAACTCTTCACGAAGCCAATTACAATAATAAATAAATAAATCGGATATTTAAAAAGAAAATATCTCATTTAGGAAATATACCAATTTTTGTTCTTTTTTGTTGGGTGGGGAGATTATAATTTTTCAGAGTGGCAAGTTGTTTTCCCGACTCTCATTGTCTCTCCTTTCCGTTTTTCTCTCCTTTCTTCGTCTTTCTTTTTGACTATCTTTACATTTTCTCCTTTCTCTCTTTCTTTCTTATTCTTGCGTTCTCCCCTTTCTTCGTTTTCTCTCCCTCCATTTTCAAGTTGTCACCTTTCTCTATCTTTCTTTCTTTCTTTTTTTCTCGTGTTATTCTCTTTGCATCTTATGTTTTTTCTCTCTTCCTATATCTCTTTAAATTTCTTGTGTACTCCCTCTCTCTCTCTCTTCCACTTCTCTCTCTCTCTTTCTTTATTTACTTTCTCTCCTTCTCTCTCTCTTTCCTTATTTTCTTTCTCCCCTTCTCTCTCTGTTTGTTTTTCGGTTTCTTTTTTCCTGCTTTCTATCTAGCATTATCTCCTACTTTCTCTTTCGTTGTCTCCTTTTCTCTCACTATCTAGCATTCTCTCCTTTCATCTCCTCCTCCTCATCCTCTCTCTTTCTCTCTCTCCGTCTGTGTTCACACTTTTTCTCTGTCTGTCTAGCATCCTCATCTTCTCTCTCTCTCTCTCTCCCCTCTACTAATCTCTCTCTCTCTCTCTCTCACTCATTCTGACACATATAAAAAAGACAGGTAAAAATATACAAGTATGTTGGGTAAGTAACTCTCATATTCAAAACGTTTTACGAGAACATCAAAATGCAAAAACTAAAACGTGGTTGTTTCCCTCACCTTTCTGTCTCTCTGTCTCCCTCCCTCCCTCCCTCTCTCTCTCTCTCTCCCCCTCTTTCTCTCTCTGTTCTTTAAATTGCTCTGAAAATATTCAAATACTTTGGATTCGCAATATCTGGAATGTGAAACATGGTAAAATTTAATTCTTTTATTTATTTCCTTCGTTCCGTAAAAAAAAAAAATTCTAAGCCATGCCAAAAAGCTATATTTGTAATATGAGTCCCGTTAAAATGATTCTTTTCAAGCGAACGGCGTCTTCGTACGAATTTGCCCAAAAAAGGCAAAGCGAACACTTTGCGTAGAAAATAAACCTGAACCCCGAGTCATTTACTGGAACAATTTTTACCTACATTCCTTTTTCTTTACCTGGGTGATTTCCTCAGCAGCCTCGCCGCTCCCATCATTTCTCGATCTTGCTCCTCCACCTCACCAACCTTCACTTTTCTTTTTCATCTTTCTTTCTTTCTCTCTCTCTCTCTCTCTATCTATCTATCTCTCTCTTTCTTTTTTCTACCTTTCGTCTTTTCAGCTTCTCTTTCACATAATTTTCACGCTTTCTCTCCGCTTTCTTTACAACCGGCACACGACTCCATTTTCGTACTTTTCCTCTCTCTCTCTCTCTCTCTCTCTCTCTCTTTCTCTGTTTTTCACTCACATTATTCTTTCCACCTTCTCTTTTTCGTCTTCATTTTTTTTAACTTTCACCTATTAGACTATCTTACACGAAATGTAATTTTCATTCCATTTTTTTATTTCCCATTCTTTCTTTCTTTTTCCCTCTTCTTTCTTTCTCTCTTCTTTTTTTTTTTTTTTTTTTCTTTCTTTCTTTCTTTCTTTCTTTCTTTCTTTCTTCTAATGTTTACATACTATTTAATATTTATCTGCACTCTTTCACCTCTACTTCTGATCTATCACGTGAGTGAACTACCAACCTCCACTTGTGGCTTCGTCAATAGATCAAATGATCTATCACTCTAATCGCTAATGATTAAATCAAACTATCTCTCTATCCATATATATATATATATATATATATATATATATATAAAGAGAGAGAGAGAGAGAGAGAGAGAGAGAGAGCTCAAACACTAATATTCCATGGTTTTTATTACATTGGAATCGTAACCACGATCCAATTCATCAGATTCAAAAGGAAATTTTTTCCGATTTCTTTTTGAATTTGTAGGTCTGATGAATTAAATCGTGATTACGATTCCAATGTAATCAATTATAACCATGGAATATTAGCGTTTGAGCCTTTTATATTATATTCTTGCTCTGGCCTGGACATTGAGCTCTACCTGGATTCTATCCTCTTGGAAATTTATATACATGTGTATATATATATATATATATATATATATATATATATATATATATATATATATTTATATAATATATATATCTCGACTGCACACTATAGTATGATCTGTTGGGCATCGTCTGTGAGAAAAAGAGCACCATGGCGCAATTCACTCCGCCAGAAATTTGAAAAATGGCAATGCTGTAATGCTTCGCATTCGTGCCGGAATCTCCAATAAGAACATTTCAGAGTTTTGGGGCATTAATCTGAGAACAGTGCAGAGGATTAGGAAAGAGTTGGATGAGTCTGATGGGGATTACGAATGTACGGAAGCTCGCAAAACTCACTCTGATCGTTCTGATGATAAAATTTTAACTTTTACCAATTTGGTTCGCTTTGGTTTTATTCCTGAATATATCAACATGTCTTTTCAGGTATATTTTTTTTATATTCCGTGCTAATAGGAATATGTACTTGACAAACACAGTGGATAAAATAAGTAAAGCCGAATTTAATGTGGGGCAATTCGAGACCGTAGGCTCGGCTCAAAACTTTCTGTAACCCCGCATAAACGGGTTCGGGTCTGTCTACCTTCCCGGATGAGACCCTGCCCTTCGGCATAGCCTCGTCTGGGTTCCTCTCTGCCCGAAGCACAGCTGAAAAAGATTTCAGCTTGACTCTGTAGGCCGTTGACTTACAGATACTTATAGGTAGATACTACCTATAGTGTAGTCACTCATGGGGGTGACAGGCTATTCCATTACATCATTTTTGTTTATTCTGAGAACTGACACAAGGCCACTATTGCTGTGCGCGAAATGTGAACCGAACCCAGTCAAAGAATTAAATACGAATTCTGTAGATTCATCGGTCTTTTGCAATATATTTATCAACGAAACAGTCTGTTCATTGATCTACCTTTACACCTTATACATATATATATATATATATATATATATATATATATATATATATATATATATATATATATATATATATATTTGCAATAAAATTCATCCTGTACAAGGCTGGGGTTGCATTAAAAGGCAGTTTATACGGATAGCAGGCGAAGATAATAGTTAACCCTAGAACAGTTTAAGATTGTATTGATCGGGGAAACATCCTCTTGGGAATGGGTTCTACAGATCAGTGGCTCGCGAGAAGAAGCTGTTCAAGTGGAGCACTTTTTCAAGGGCCGAATACAGAGAACTGATGCACTACGCGCCACAAGATTCCCAAACGACCCTCTGCAGGTTTTGAATTCAGAGTTGTCCTTCTCCTAGACCAGTTGCCATCCAAGGCTATAGAACTCAGTCTCTTCTGCTATTTACCCATAGCTTGAGAGAGAAGAGGATTCAAACCTTTCCCAAGGGTATTAGCATGTAAGTGAATGTAATGGATTCGACTGGAATTCGAACTCGGCTCTCCGATTCCTCAATCCAAGCCGATATATATATATATATATATATATATATATATATATATATATATATGTATATGAAGATAGATGAAACGAAACGAAATGAAATCGCATTTCATTTCGTTTCGTTTCATCTATTGGAAGTGTTATCTGATGATCCAGAGTCCTTTAAAAGGGCTCTGGTGAGATAAACTATTATAATAGAACCTTAAAGTGGTCTGTTTTTCTTTAAAATATTAGCTCTGGATCTACATTGAGCTCTCAGGATTTTATCCTCCTTGGGACTACCCATACGGATTACCAAGTTTTTCATAACCGCCATATATATCTGAAACTATATTTCTGCGATGAGGTATTATGTACACTATTTACATTATTCGGACTATTGTCCTCATCGTTGTCGCCATATTTATTACAATGTTCATTAATAGAATGTTCTTGGTCCACGTGCCATGTTTGATGGATGTCAGTTATCAGTTATCTCCTGTTAATTCCCCTCTTCAAGTTCTCCACTGCCTTAACCGGGTATTGAACTCACACTCTTTGGATCCTGTTACTGGATCTAACCAACGCCTTTATCCACAGTCCTTGGCACAGTGGATAAAGGCGATAATTAATAGGAGATAACTGATATCCATTAAACATGTCACGTGGAACTAGAGCAGTCTATCCCAGTGAGCGAAATAAAGGGTTCAGTTCGACATTCCAACCACCTGAAGATGGCCGGAGCGTACAACGGCCGAAACGTTGTAATAAATATGGCGACAACGGCGAGGGCAATAGTCCGAATAATGTAAATAGTATATCTGAAACTACATATATGTTTTTATTCAGTTATATGTCTTCATATGTATGTAAAATTCATATATTAATATCTCGATGTTGGCACTGTCATTCTCTCATATCCACGGGGGCATATATATCATATGTTCGGAGATACCAGTGCAATCGCGGATAGTACCTAACCTTATATAAAGTACATTTTCCCTGTACATGTCTACCTATGATAAAGTTTAATTTAAAAAATAAAACGCAATAATAGGTTAACAAGAATAGCTACTAATGAAACAATTATAACAATCTAATGTAATAAAAGTTTTGCTACAAACAGAAGCGTTCTTCTTACCAAAGCTCATTTCTAATTAAGTCAAGATTGTTCACCTTTTCACATAAAAGGAGAACTTTACCGTTTCTCTTCAGCATATCCGAATTGCCCACATTACTACTCAGGCACTTTTGAACCATTATTAAGTAAACATTATAAATTGTTTGTTTCTGGAATAGGCCGTGGTAAGGAGGAGCCACTGTATATATCATTCTATTTTTATCTCACTCTCTCTCTCTCTCTGTCACCCTGAATATATCGACAAACATACACATTTAACTCGATTGAACATGTGTATTTTAATATCTCTGCATTCCACTGTCTGGTTGTTTGGTGTTAAAATGTCAACGATTCCTTTTCAATGAAAGTTGCGCTCCAAAACTCACCAAAATATTTTCAGCGTCAAGGCAACTTACCTTTTGCTACTGACGTCATTAAAACTCAGCACATCGTATTACAAATTTAGTTCTTCTTCCATACATAGTCGGGAAGTTGTAAGAATAAGGGACAAGTAACCCTGGTTACCCGTCCTCACAAAATGGGAGTAACCAAAGGTGTTAAAGCGAAGATAAGTAATAAAAAGTGAAAAGAAAAGTAATGAAAATTATCGTAAATAGACAGACAAATGAATCCGAGATAGAATTTAAACTATACGACAGAAGTATTAAAATCAGTAAGAATAGCGAATGTTTCAGTTGTCAATCATCAGCTGCCACAAAAAAAAATATCATAACTAGCATAGTACCCGTCAAAAATATCGGAACTATTTACGTATGGATAGGCACTTCTACCTTGGATCAGATTATCTGTATACTTTGTCTAGTATCTACCATGGCTTTCCTCTCTTCATCCGTAGTCTTGTCTTCGGGTAGATCGAGTTATACCACGAAGCGAGTTTAGTTCCAAGCATTCCGACTTTGCCTCCTAATCGCAAAAATGGAAAAGATCGGAATATTCTGACACTTGTAGGGAATAGAATATTTTTTACCCTTATCCACATACAATCATCCAGATATCAGACTTGTACCCAACAGCAGTCATGAATGGGTCGTGACAGACTTTGTAGTACATTGGGATAAGAATATCGTGGAGCAGGTGAAAATACAGAAGTACCAAGACCTAAGTGGGCAAATCGAAGAAATGTACCAAGCAACAGCTAAAGTTATCCATTTTGTAAGCGCACTCTGGACTGTTTTGGGGCATCTATCTCATAAGACGTCTTGGGAATACTTGACATCAATGGGAATGCGCAAGTTACAACGCTGCTTGGAAAAGATCATGTATTGAGTCTTTAAGTTGCAGTTAGTAGCTGACATATGACTATAATCATCTGTCCGAAATGACTTGCAGAAATATTAGTATCTTGTTCCATATTAAATTGCTGAGTAATTGCTCGAGAACAAGTAGTTGATTGAAGACGCTGTAGAATATGTCAACGTCGATCCTGACGGACAGCAGTGATAAGACTACGACTAATTCTTGGAAGATTAGAAAGAATACTAGTTTCTTTAAATTTGGAGTTCATGCGAGCAACAGCTGATCAGGTAACATTATGTCGTTTTTGTATGATCGGTAAGAGATACACATTTATTGTGTAGGGAACAAATTGCACTTCTTTCAGCTACTGTCAGATCTCGTGTTTTTGGCATTCTGTAAAGAGAGCAATGAACTTTTAAGAAATGTCATTATAATATGATGTATACAATGGCTAAATAATAAATAAATAAGTAATAAGTTAATTCTATTGACTAAATGTGATTGGACAACTGATTTTTATTATTAATAGGTGCTAGCGTTAATTATTGCAGTATATATATATAGGGTATATATATATATATATATATATATATATATATATATATATATATATATATATATATATATATGTCTGAGATGAGCTATTATATTATGTACACTATTTACATTATTCGGACTATTGTCCTCATCTTTGTTGCCATATTTATTACAACGTTATGGCCGGAGCGTACAACGGCCAAAACGTTTTGATAAATATGGCAACAAAGATGAGGAAAATAGTCCGAATAATGTAAGTAGTATATATATATATATATATATATATATATATATATATATAAACAGATTATTGCTGCCACACTAGGATAAGATAATCTTTCAAATAATAATAATAA